AGTTTTATTCATTTTGAGTGTGGTGTCAGGTAGAGTTCACTGTGAATACAGAAGTCATTAAAGAAAATAATTCTTTTAGAGTGATGTGTTTATGCTAGATCTTCAAACACTACATTTTTGTTGTTGTAATACAAAGTCTGAATCATTACATAATTTATTCAAATCAAATAATTGCTGAATGTTTGTCTAAGTGAAAAGAAATTCCTGGATCCTTGTCTTGTTGTGGTGCACTGTTTTTCTTAGAGGATTTGCTGATGGAGAATGCAGCAGTTATGATAAAAAGATTATATAAAAGAGCTGCTGCTGAGAGTCCATGGCATTGTACGGGGTTATACCAAACACTGTATTCCCCAGGGCAGGTACAATAATTAGCTACAGGACTGGCACTCAGTCTGAGGGATTAATTAGAACTGGAGATGGGGGGCGGGAAGGCAAGGCAGCCATAAAGAGTGTCAGGATCACTCTGGCTTGAAGCCTGTGTGATTTGATGTGAAATAGCAGCAGCTGGCTGTAACCTTAGGAAGTGCAAGAGAACAGCAGGTGGTAATTCCTGTCTCATTTACCATGTCTTCACAGGAACATACAAGCTTGTGTGGCTTGGGTTTACTGGCAGGTCAGAAGGAAAATCCTAAGGAGAACTGTGACATTTACTATACTAAGCAAATGCAATAGTCAAAATGGAGTGTCCACAGCATAGTGTAAAACCAGTAACGCTGTTGCTTAATGTTATTGTACTGGCCATGTGACAAGGTTATGATGAGCTTTCAATATTGACCTTATGTGGGCCAGTGGACAAAGCTGTGAAAAATCTGGGACAGCTAGTGAGAATGACATCCTCCAAGGCTGTGGTGAATGTAACGGGAGAACTATTTCATCTAAGTAAAAAATCAGACAGAGGGAATGATACAAGGTTATGGCATCCTTTGGTTCTCTCAGTAGCCATTGTATGGGGGCAAGTAGGCTTTACCTACACTTCCAGGTAGGTAAGCAGGAAACTCTAAAGTGGTCACATGGCTGTTAGCCTCCACCAACCATCATGTTTTCCTTGGCATTTGGGCAAAAATGCAGTGAGGTATGCAACAAATGTGCTAATTTAGAAATTGTAACCAGCTAGCATTTCAGTGTGAGCTGGAGTAGCTGTCAGCAGAGGAATTTAGTAGACCAGTGGTCGCTGTTGATGACTGTAGTGTTTTGTATTCTGCTAGGGCCTCCCAGGGTGTAGAACAAGAACCCTTCCTATGTGCAGTTCAAGAATCAAACCAAATAAAGAAAAAATTGAATAACTTTGAATCTGTTGTTGAGAACAGCTTTAGATAGAGAAAAAAAATAAAACAGATCTAGGGGTTATTTGTGGCTATATTTATAGCAGAGTGACAGGAAAGGAATAGAACTCATTTTGTGGAGAGGATAGCTCTTTTTATGCTTTTTTAGAAGCTCATTGTGTGCCAACATTGTCTTTCATGGATGCCAGAAGATGCAATGCCTTCTAAAGCCTCCCACGCATGCAAAAACTATGGACCCATTGTAGTTTTGTTGCTGGGTTCCATTTAATATTCCCGTGTTTCTGTCTTTCTCCAAAGAGGTGTGTTACTTATGGGGGGTGATGCAGGTCCAAACTGATGTTGCATGTATCTGACTATTAGGTCTAAGATTATTACCACTTTGGGCAAAGGAAAGTTTTGTCCTACTTGGTAACAAGCTGAAAGAAGTAACTAAGCTGCAGATGGAAGAATGGGTTTGTCCCCTTTTCTCATGTGGTGTTTATATAGGCAAAGAAATGCAGTACTAATAGCTGATATTAAACTTGCCTGTGTGGTGTTGGGAACCATTGAGAATGCTGGGGCTGGACTGTGAAGTGCTGTATGATTTTGTGTACAGCTACACAAAACTTTCCAAAGTCTTTAATTTTTTTCTCAAGGAAAAAAAAATCTTTCATGACAAACCAGCATTTTATGATTAAGCTCCTTTCTTGATTAATTTCCAGTTCTACTTCATGGTCAAGATGAAATAAAACTAATTTGAATTTTGAGTTTCTACATTTTAAAATGTCAAATTGCAAATAAGGTAATCTAGAGGTAACTGAAAATTACTGTTTTGTAATCCTGTTGAGTAAAAATGAAGTTGTTTAAAAATTTTCTGTTTATTCATTTTTTAATAAATGAGTTTTATTGCTTGCTGCTTAGATTTTACTTCTTTTGTAGAATTGTTGTTTGTTCTCATTTCCATTACATGGATGTTGTGGTTTTATCCAGAAGAGAAATGGACCATGTGCACAACAGGGCTAATGAGTCACAGATGTAAACATTCTGGCACATTACTATCTAATAACTTCTTTAACTTATATTCCATAATAAGATAAATGCAAATCTGATACATCTGTTTCGTAAATGATGTATCATTCCAGTCTTAGCAGTGCCTCAGGAGTGGATTTCTTTATATATTAGTAGTTTTAGCCTTCTTTGGTTTTGTTTTCTGTTTATGTGTTTCTAAAGAGGAGATTTCAGGTCACTGAGCAATGCAGTTAGCCACACCACAGTTCATCCAAATGAAGTGGGAAGGCTGGTAAAACTGCCACCGGCTTTATGGGACCCACTTACAGGCTCTCAGCTTCCTCATCTCATGGATATGTATCAGGAATAAAGATGCTAAATGCAACTCAAAAACGCTAGTGAAGGACATGCATGCATCAGGAAGTTACTCTGCCGTTTTTTTTTAAAAGATGGGTGCAGTCTTTGTGATCTGGAGGATCTCTGGTGTGATTGCATGTGGAGGTGAACAGAGCAAATATTTGCAGCATTAAAGGAATCTGCTGCAGCTGAGAGACTTGGCAGGCTGCCCTGGCCTGTTGGTGCTCTCCACTAGGCCAGCTGGGCTGGAAAGAGCCTTGTGCGCTATGGCAACATGGGTTACACCAGCAGAGCCTTCACACAGGACTTTTTGGAAGGCCCTTTTTCCAGCAGCAAGAGCCAGGCACAGCCTTCCCTTTCAGAGGTGCTAAGCTGCAGTCCTGCAGCTGGATGCTCCAGGCCTCGCAGAGGGGCTGTGCCACCAGCTCTACCTCCCAGAGGTGGCATGTGGTCATGCAGGCATGAGAGAGCTTAGAGCTACCAGGCTATATTTTATTCTGTCTTCCTTAGCCTAATGTCTCTCTGCTGTTGAACAAGCCTCTGCTTCAGAAAGTGTGCTATGCTAAATTCAGCAAGAGGGCTTAGAGATTTCCTTCTTTTTAGGAGTTCACTGCTCAACTGCATAAGGTTTCAGCTTTTCCAGGTTTAATTCACACCCTACAATGCAGCATAAGAAAGCTGTTGAACTGAGTGCAAAATTCACCCTCTTGTATTGTGACAGCAGGCCGCAATTGCCACAGTCTTCAATTTGCATAACAATACAGTGCACGTTGTGCACATATTGGTAGAGTAGAATATGAGAAACTGTAAGTGGCATACAGTGCTTGAGGGGAAAAAATTTGCTCTGGATATGAAAACACTGCTATGTATTTCTTGAAAACATTTACCATGGCCATTATGAACTACCCAAGATCTAGCAATAGATTTTTGTTCAGTGTTACAGTTGTGTATGTGCTACCAGTTTATGTGCTGAATGTCATATGTTAAACAGAATGTGAGGAGCAGGATGTTAGTTATGCAAAGCACTTCAAAGTATACTATTACTGCTGTAAAGTTCTGCAGCAATCCAGAATCAAAACTTTCTACGTAGCTCTCTTGAAGTGCTGTAGTACATTTTAATTGAAAATGGCTCAATCATCTGCTGGCTGATAGTCTTAACAACTGTCAAATGATGATAACAATTTATTGTAATTTTAAGGAAAGACACCTCCATGGGATTGCTCCTTCTAAAATCTCTTGATATTCTTGTTGTAAGGTAGCAACTTGCATCTGCAGTGTAGTGCAAACCTAACTGTTTCCCATATGACAGAGAGGCTGTTTCCTGTCAGTAGACAATGTGGGGTGTACTAAACATAGTGTTTGTTCTGTTTGTCTGTTAGTACATTGTCTCTGTGATGTTTGTGTTGTGCTGTTTTCGTACCATGTTGTGCTGTGTCCCTAGGGTCTGCCAGGCTTCCCCACAGTCGCTGCTCTGCACAGTAATCAGATCCTCACCGTCAAGGTTTGTGGCTGACATGTACCTGTTCAGTCAGGTCTCTCTGTATCAGCATAAAAGTGCACATGAAAAATCGCTTTTAACGTGGAATACCAATGGATCCTTATGGTAGACCTAAGTCAACCCCTCACCGCCTATGCATTGATATAAGTACTCCTGATGCAGAGCATGGAATGAAATCCATAAGTGTGTATAGTATTACCCCTGGAAATGGCCATATTCCTCATGATCTTGATCAGTATTTTGTTTTCAGATGAGTTTTTTCTGTCGTTCTGCTTCCCTGAGGCATAAATGAGTGTGGAAAATGGCAGTGAACTCTATACTGGTTGCATGTAGAGTCAGCTATTTGTGTTAAATACCACAGGTTTGATCTTTACATCCATATTTTTTCAAAGTGCATTTGCAAATTAAGCAGGAAGCAATCTGGTCAAGCTGAAACTCCAGTCCTTATTAAAATGACACCATTCTTCATGGCACAATATGCTGGTTAGAAAATCTGACTGAAAGTTGAACTGGTGCTTTGTCTCTAGAAGCTTTGCTGAAAGAAGAACATATTAAAACATTGGTTTTTTAGAGCCCAGGTAATGAAAAAACTAATACACATGAAGAATTCTCACACAAAATCTGGGGAGAAAAAAGTTACACAGTTAAGTCATTGTATACGATTAATTCACAAAGCAGTATGTCCTGTACATTAGAGGTTATTTTTTTTGAAAATAAAATGCACAGTTTCTTTCAGGCAGAAGCACCAGTTTATATTATTTTAACTATTACAAATCTAATGAATATGTCTTTATTTCTTTCTCGGGCCTTCTGATGTCTATTCTTCAATTCTCTCATCTCTGATCTTCAACCTTTGACCTCACCTGCCTGATCAGATGGTGTTTCCTAAAATCAATCATGGGTTTCTCTCTGCTGATCAGCAGCTCATTAAACGCCGCCTCATTAAGGTAGTGCTTCATCTCACTGGAGTCTGGTTCTTCTTTACACTTAGTTTACTCTTTGCTGTGCCTTTTTGTCAGATGCCTTGAAAATGTTTTGGAATGGAGCAACTGTTAATGACATTAACAGTTACAAGGCTACGGGTGGCTTTGCTAAGTGATCCACTTTTAAGATGCCAACAGCTTTTTTCAGTGATTTGCAGCGATGTGCTGAAAAAAACTAAAGCACCATTTTGCAATGTCTTTTTTATAAAGGGGAAGGTAATATGTTTTGATAACTCTCTTGAAAATTGACTTTTACAAATTAATAGGAAAAAATGAAGAGAGTTAGCTAATTGTCATTATAAAACAGCCTCCCAAAACAGATGGAAAATTACGTACAACTTCGTGGAAAAGCAGTTATTTTCCATTATCATTTTTGAAATCTATCCATATATCATTCATGGGCTTGGAAAATTGCTGTGCAGACTGTATATTCTCAGATGTGACTTTTCTTTTTTTGCCTCGGCTTTGTTGTGATTATGCAAATCATGAAGCAAACAGCTGCTCATTGAAAACAGTTACTTGCTGTGGAGAACTACATGAGTAAAAAATTGTAAGACTACCACAAATTTTGGCATGTGTGCTGTGGTAGGACAAGCAGTTTAGAATCTGAACCTTCTGCTCTTGTGGCTGATTGCACCAGACAGATACAAACTGCTGGTCTTCAAGGCAAAATGCTGTCTCTGCCGTAAGCAGTGAAGAAGCCACTGTCCAGTTCATGGCAGCTTCTTCCAGCCTGTCTTGCACTTTTTCTGAGCACATTGATGTCTTTTTCTGTGGTTGATGTCTCTAAAGCAAACTTGTGATGAGTTTTTTGTTGGTTTAGGGGGACCAAGGGCAAGCTGGACCCCCTGGACCTCCAGGGCCACCAGGACCCAGAGGTCCTCCAGGAGATACCGGCAAAGACGGTCCTCGTGGGATGCCTGGCTTAACGGTGAGTTAGTCTGTTGCTGTCATGATGTCCAAGTTTCTGTGGAGTCTATGCCAGCTTAGTTCCAAAGATGTTTTCTGAGGTAAGATTGGTAAGCAAGACATGTGAAAGCTGATCCACAGGCAGATTTCATGGTGTACCTGAAGTCCCACACACAGAGAGCAAGTTCATAACAGGGCGAGCAGTAACATCAGGGTTCCTTGCCTCCCACCCTTGACAGTTTCCTCACCCATTCTGAGGTTTCTCAATTGCTCATTCATGTTTAATAGCTGTGTGAGCAGTCTGCCCCTCTCCACCAGTTGTAAATGTTTCTATTCAAATTTCAAGACAAAGCTGAATAGTTGAATTTGAGACACCGTAGCATGGATGGGCTTGAGTTCTCACTTGCTAGTGGTTTAACCTCAAAAATCATGGAATAAAGTAATAAACTGCTAAATGCTGCCCTAACTATGATGAAATTTGGAGTTAGATTCTGCCATCTTTAAACAAGTAGAACAGTACCATTTCCTTTGGCTCATACCCCGTATTTCATTAGAACAAGCAGCAGAGTCCAGTATATTGTGTATTGTTTGTTTTAGGCACAGAATCAATCCTACACTTTTTAAACAGATGCATAAAAACATGATTTTATTTTTTTTTAACAAAGTGTGTGAATGGGTTTGGTTTTATATCTTGTAGCCTCCTTAATTTTTATCCTTTTGAAAGAAGTATCTCTCTTTTCATCATGAATGCCACTGTGTTATCAGTGCAGAAGTGGAATCAAAGACGGGAGGGAGATATGACAACTGAGATGGCACACGTGTGGATATACCCATTAAGTAAAGATCATGGCTGAGAAGACACATAGGGAACTAGCAAGGTGATGACCAGCACTGGAAAGAAACTGATTTTTGAACAAAAAGCATAGCTCGTTACATGAGGCCAGGGCAGGAAGGCATTAAATTTCCCTGCAATGCATTTTTAGGAAAAACCAAGAAAGAAAACCTCTACACTCCTGTTCTGACCCTATTCGGGTATTAACTGTATAATATAGCATGATGATAATAGTAAGATTCTGCTAAAATTTCTTGTGAAAATCCAGCAAGACTTGCCAGTTGAGACCTGTGGTACTCTAGGGCTGCTGCTGCTGTTGTTGGTTTGGTTTGTTTTTTTACCACCCTCTCATAAGTTCTAGCTCAAGGTTATGAAATAACATTAAAAGTCTGTTGCTGTCATTGTGATGCTTTACTTTGACAACCTACTCATTTCTTGTTAGTCCTGTGGCATGTCAGGCTTTGGGCCTCTTCTGGGCCTCCCTTGTGTTCTTTTAATGTGGTTAAATTAACTGCAGTGAGCAGAGTTGCTGCTGGTTTGCTCTAGTAAGGGCAAGACTGAAACCAGAATCCATTTCTGACTGTAATGATAATATTTTAATAATTCACATAGAAGAGGATAGCAGAATCACTCTGGTGTTGCTGGTTACAATGTGACTGCATGTTGCTTGGGGTTTTGTGCTTTTTAGCAGAGGGATCATTAGTGTTTCTCATAACAGGAAAGTCATGTATTTTATGCAATGAGGTCATTCCATTTTGTGATAGTTCTGTAGTGATTCTGACTTTAGATGGCAAGAGAGAGTTTCTTTTTATAGTTTTTAAGCTTTGGCTATCTTAAGCCCTATAGCATTATGGAAAGTCAGTTCATAATACTGCTTTAGATTCAGATACAAACAAGCACTCAGATAGAAACCATCCAGTTTGCTGACTTTACTATCCTGCTCCTTGCTGCTGTTCCTGATCCTCAAAAGGCTTGTTCCTCCATGGCTGTGTGATACACAGTCAAATAGGAGATCTGTAAAGGGAAAACTTAGTTGAGAGGTAAGGACAGATTTGTATCTTCAACAGACTTGCATGGACCTTTGAGCTAGAGAGCTGAAAACAATAGCTCCACTGTGTTATGAGTAGGGACATTGCAGTATCACACAGCTGTAGGAGGATGTCCTTACAGTGACCAACCACCATTAGGCAGACTTTTTTCCTCTTTTGCAGTGTTGGGCAAAGCAGGGGCTTCTCTTCCAGCCTCTCCCTCTCAAGCAAGAAGCTTTACAATTCCTACAGCTATACGATGATGTTTTGGCTCTTGCTTTCCCCTGTGCCCATGCACTTGCTGTGTATCCTGGAAAAGTCAGGCAGATGAGGTAGTAAGGTAGAGGGAGTAACTCCAGGAGCCACTATTACTTCTATTCTGCAGTGTAGCAGGTTGAGGAACAGCCTTTGTGTCCACACGTCTCTATCTGTGTCATCACCACCTTGCAGCCCAAAGGTGTGCATCCTGTTACAGATACTTACAGCTTCTAGAGATGAGATTATGTTTGTTTCTTGGGCAGGAAATCATTAGAGCCAAGGAGGTAGAAGTGTTTGGGAAATGCCATTGGGCATATTGCCAGCAGAGAGAGCACCCTGAAAGGGTTGTGCAGACTTCTAAGCCTTTCTTTGGACGTCAGCAGTGGAACCTGTTGGAACCAGAACACACTTGATTTCCTGATAGTGACACGTAGAATAGGTGCCTTCTCTTTGTGTCACACAGACACTGGCACGAAGAATTTGAAACTTTAACAGCTCCAAAAGGAAGTAAGAGGAGAGTGAAGGGGTTTTGCTGGTAAAAAGACAATAGAATATGGTACAAACTCTTGAAATTTTTTCAGAATTATTTCCCAACATTTATGGGGATATCTTGATGCTCACTTCAGGCTGTGGGATTGCTGCATACATAAGTTAGCAAGGCTTCAGAGCAAGCTGAAGAGTCCAACAAGCTTGGGTAACGAGCTGTCAGAAACCTGTGCCTATGTGGCTTCTTTCTTCTGGCTATCTTGATGTGTTTGCAGATGCTGCATGTTTGCTTCTGAATGTGATGCACACATACCCAGAGATGCAGTTCTGATTCTTTTCAGTTGCTAAGAACAATGACATCAGAACAGTTCTCATCAATTTTATGACGGGCTTTCTTTTATGACAGAGCTGCTAAAGAAGACCCTGCAACTGTGCTGATACAATAGCACATGGACTGCCCTATGCTCAGTTGGGTTTTTAAGGGAATGATCTATAAACCAGACCACCGGTTTTTTTGAATGGGTATTTTTAGCCCGTATTGTATGACTGATATGTTTTACTGCCTCTACAGACAGATGTGTGTGTTCATATGGCAAGAAAGGGGAGAAGATAGATTCTGACTTTTATGTAGAGTTGTGCCTGCAGAAAGAGAATACATTGGCAAAAATGATGGGTTGCCATTTCAAAAGCCAATCCAGGTATTTAGCAGCTGAGTAATTATTACATGGCTTCAGAATACCAGTATTCTTGGGTTTATGGAACATGATAATTGACAACGGTAAGTTATGCTTGCTGAATGAGGTGGTGACACAGAGCAGTAGTCTTGGAATATATAAACTGCAGGATTCAGCATGTATGTGAAAATAACCTTTCTCTATGTACTTTAGCACTGTGAAATGGAATATTATGTTTAGAACCAAGGGACAGTGTCAGAACACTAATGCTTAACTCTTGCCTTGAGAACTATACCATTACATAATTGTGAAATAGTACTTTGCTTCTTAAGATGTCTGTGATTTGGCCGACTAGGTTAAAAAGCAAAAAAGTAATATATTTAATATGCAGTCAGATGCCATACCTGTTTAAGAATGAAATTTTTAAGGTATTTTATTATTAGACAGAAAATTGAATTCAAGACATGTTGCTGAAATTATTCATTCCTTATTTTATTCTAAGGGTGAGCCAGGGAAACCAGGAGAACAAGGATTGACGGTAAGTACTCTTCCAGTTTGCTAAGAAAATGTCATGTATACATGACATATGCCTTTTAAAATGTGCAATTCCAAAAAGCTTTATAGCTGTGTATTTCCTAACCTTTCTTTGTCACAGGCTATTTGAAGCCTTGTTTGTGAAGAAAACAAGAGTGAGAAAGGCAACATCACCTGTCACATAAGGCCAACTTCTTTAAGCTTGCAGCACAGGGGAATAAAAAATCTAAGGGCACAGCAAAGCAAAAAAGAACCAAGCCAGGTATTCCCAGTTCCTGGCCACCTCTTAACACTGTCTCTGAAGTTGGGCTGTTTCCACCTTGAGACCACTGAGCAGCAGAACCATCTCCTTGTTTAAGGGCTAAAATCCAAGCTGTCTCTGTGGCAGTGGCTCTGGACTTTTACCTGGCAGAATAGGGAAAACACAGCACTGAAGCTCTCAGAATATTCTCCTCTTCTGAGGTTTCAGCTTTTTTCCTGTGTGTGTGTGAAATATTTCCTATTTATTTGGAAGTAAATTGAAGCTCCACTGGTTATAAATCGACTTTAGCCACAAGTTAAGGCATCATAAGTTTCTGCCTGTCACATATTCCCAGAACTGTGAAACATGCAGGGCTTTTTCTCCCTTAAGATCTCCCTAAACACTCGTATTCATTCTTAATTTTATGAGAGATGACAGAATTGTAGCCCATGGCATGTGGTTTTGATTCCTAAATGCTTCTGAGGAGGAAGATTATATGGAAGATTATATCAGCAATCAGTGCAGATATGATTGTTATCTGAATTTATGAAGATTTAAACAGATGTGATATTTTACCTTGACAATTTGCAAAAGATTTTGAATTGACAAAATCTTTTAAAAGAAAAATCCCAATATTGCAAGACTTAGAAAGATCTGCTGTGATCGGGCAGTTAAAAGTCCTGTACATTTTCATTTTGAAATAAAGGTTTAGCAAAATCAAAATCAAAGCCTCCCAAACTACTACCCAATGTTTTAGTATACTTCTGGGCTCTTTTTTATTTTGTCTTTTTGGTTTCCAAGGGCCTGTGAAGAATACATGCAATAAGTAGGAAGGGAGGATTTTTTTGCTTGTTTTCTTATATTTGGATTATTCTCCTATTTGACCTCTGGGAAAAACTCAGATTCTGCAACAGTGTCTTCTTTCTATTCAAGACCAGATCTTCAGAGCCACAGGATGCTTAAAGGCTTTTAAAGCAAATAATAATTCATCACTTTTTAGTCTCCATGTTCAGAAGGTTCCCACTGCTCTAAAGTAACCATTTGTGTGAAAGAACTAAACTGCTACTGCTCTGTTTCCCTAAATATAGATGTGTTTAGCTAGGAACAAAAGGTGTTTTAAAACTCAAATCAGCAAGCTTAGGTTGGAGAAAGATCCCAGATTACATGAATATCCAGCTCCAAATGCCTGCTTGAAAAGTCAGTCTGACAGCTAAAATGTTAGGTTGTGTACAGATCAAGCAAAGAGCATCAGAGGATCAGGGAGGTAATTAGTTTCTTTTTATTCTTCTTTGTGCTTCTGACATACTCTTCATGCCAGTACAGATTTGCAGACTGTTTTCCCTGCGGAAAGTGCTGCAATCATTCAGGGACTGTCTAGCTGCTTCTGACATCTTCCATTGTGCATTTCATGAATTTCCATCTTGAGAATTCAGACACTGCTGCGAGAATGGCTGATTTCTCAATACATATGCCATAAAATTGCATTGCTAGAGAAAATAGTTATAATATGCTGTGAGGAAAACAGGCCTTTGCCTACCTGAGATTTTTTTTCTCCATTTTTCACCTAATATTTTTTCAAGTAAAGGAAAATGGAGATCTCTGCCCAGAGGAGATGATAGGTTAATTCTGCAGGAATTCTTTTGTAAGGACTTGCCTTTGTTTCACACCAAAAGTCTCAAGTCTGAGTTTACTTCCTGTTTTTGCTTTCTGATGAAATAGAAACCATGAAGTTGATGAGTCCCATAAAAGTACTACCGGTCTTTGTCTCCCAAACATCCCAACTCCCAAATACACTGGAGTGTAGAGTATGCTGTGGTTTCCCACTTGGCCACATGTCCAAGGCCCTTTCCAGTAAGAAGCAAGTGCTGTGGCGTGTATTCTGGTTCTTCCTCCAAGACAGAGGCAGGATACCACCAAGAAGAGCACCAGATGATGTGAAACAATCCCTACTGTCTTAGTTTTCTATTTTCTCTTCTTAGAAGAAGTAGAATAAATTTCTTGAAGAGCACAAGATATGGTAACAATATTAGGTAACTGTTTTTCAGCTTGTTCCTCAGAATATACCACAAGTCTAATACACACATTGAGTAACTTGTGACCTACTCAAGCCATTTCTGCCTCGATTTACCAAAAGTTGAAATAATTTTAATGCATTTAGAATTCTGGGAATGTTCATGTTCTCCTTTCAGCGAAATAGGAAATCCAGTGACTAGTGAAAAGATGGCAGTTTGCTCAAACTGAAAATCTGCTGCCATATTCTTCTTCGTTTTTAATGAAGTCTTGTGTTAGTAAAGAAAGAGAAAGTCATGTTTCAGGTGATGTTGTGAGAGAGGGCAGTAATAACCTTTCTCCCTCTCAGGCAGGAAAGGTTTGCTTGGAACATATGCCGAGACTGACAATGTTTGAGTTCCCTGATCTGAGTTCTGCTTTGGCATGAGAGAGCTCAACCTTCAATACAGGGAATAGTTTTCCCTATTTCAAGTGTAAGAACGTGTGGGTTATGGCATGGTGGTGGAAGGATTTAGGAGGTGGGAGATCTGGTTGTTTCTTACAGAGGTCTCTCATTCTCAGCTAAAAATCTTTCCAGATTGTCGGACTCGCAGTGTGCTTCTATTGTTCTTTTATCCTTGCGGTTGAAATGTTTGGGAGACCTCTTTGCATATAGAGCCTTTTTTGGCTCTATATGTTGCTGTGTCAGGAATAATCTGTTTTCTCTTAGAGCCAAGAAGTTTCAATTTCTTTTTAGGTGAGATAGTGACTTAGGTTTAAGTTATAAAGGTGTGACTGCATGCATCTTGAATGTTAGAAAGGAATGCGAGAATGACTAGTTAGTTGCAATTTGTGTCTGGTTTCCATGGCACTTTAAAGGCCTGCAGATCTACTTTCCATGAGGGTTGAAGGTATCGTTCCTCTGTTCAGAAAGGATTAAGAGAATTCAGAGGGAGGCCAGGCAGTGGAGTGACCAAAGGGATTAAGTTCTGAAATATTGTGTGGAACTGGTAAAGTGAATGCTGTGCAAGAGAAAAGGCCAGTAGTTTTCTTAGCTTTTCAACCTTTTCAGTTAAAGTTTTGCCATGCCTCTCATAATTCATCCTGCTTCCCATGCCATTTGTCTGCAATTCTTGGTGATAAGGACTCTTGAATACCATACAAAAGTTTTTCTGGTTTCTCTTCTCATTTACAGAGTGAATAATATATGAATTTGTGATTCCTTTCTACCTAAGAGCTAGGATTTCTGGTTGCAGACTGTTCATGAGAGCTTAGAGTCATTGATGGAAAATACCAAAGGCTGACACTGATAGATCAACATTTTCAGATTCGTGAACTGCAAACTGTTTCTTATTTTTATGTGTGAGATTTTTTGTTTTTTTATGTTTAAAGTATTTTAAACTAGTGCATAGTAATAAAAATTTGGAATATAAAAATCTGCTATGTTTTCAGCTCCTTTTTTCAGAAGGAAATTACCATGTTCAGTGTATGAATCAACCACTTCATGTCACTGAAAGAAAACCTCCATATAGTATTTTATCCCCCAAAATTTGCTTTAAAGATAAGTAATTTTACAGATGTTTTGCATGAACAGAACACTCCAGAATTACCAAAGAACTCAGGTAAAGGTGTCTCTTTGCAAAAGAAATCCATACTGTAATGGTTAACCCAAATGCAAAATCCCTCTGCTTTAAGATGTATTGTTTTCCAAACTAGTATTTTTGTGCTTATACAGTCTTGCTGGGCATTTGTTCAAGAAAATAAAACTTAATGTTACTGCTTTTACTAGTTGTTCAGAATAAAAAGAATGTTCTCTCAAAGGATACAGCCGTTTTTGTGAAAGACAGTGGAAAAGCGTAACCTTGCAGTTAAGCCTGCAAAATGTCACATCTTTAAAATGAATTAATATTATTTTTTCTTCTTAGGTTAAAATTAACAAAGTGAACACACAGGGACCAGGCAGAACTGTCTGGGAAGTACTGCTGGTTTCAATTCAGCCTTTCAGGCCAGTGGTCAAGGCCAGCTTCTCAGCTGCTGTGAATCTTCATAGCTCCTCTGGGAAGCTACTAATTGTGATTTTGTTTTCCATGGCCAGGGTTCTGTAGGCGCCTTCTTTGTTTAGCATGTGGTAGCATGTTCATAGTGAATTTTATAAGGTGTTGTTCTTAAGCTGTTTAGCTGCAAAAGTTTATGAGAACTATCAGATGAAGTGGAAATTCTCAGCCTGTGCCTTTCACAGCAACTATTCTTTTTTTTCCCCAATACAGTTGCACTGGGCTTAGCTTGCAGGAAATCTCAGGAAAAAATAGGTTTTGGCATTTTGTAACCTCTGGACTTCAGTAATGGCTGTCACAACAGTGATTGAAAGAATGAAGAAGCTCTTCTTGAGCACTAATTAAGAGCTGTTGTTGCTCTTTTCATCAATTAAGGTAGATAGCGTCGAAGGGGGGCACCGCTTTCTCAGAAGTTATAAGAGACTTTCCATCATAGTTAATCTGTTTTTTTAGCTGGCCATTCTTATATCTAGGTGATTCATCAATACTAAAGCATTGCACATTTCAATACCAATACTCTAGAAACTGCAGTCTTTATGAAACACTCCTCAACCATGCAGGTACATGTTTTCAGAATTACGTAGTGTTCCTTTTACACAAAGGAAATGGGGTCAGTGGGTAGAACACTGGCTCCACTGAAATGCAGGTGAAGCTTTGTATGAAACCTGCACTTCCTCTTCATGTACATCTGCTAGTTCAGGTTTCCATCTAGACTGATAA